ACCAGTAGTTCCTTCAGGTGCCAATAGGAGATGTGGGATGGCTCAGCTATGCCTCCAAGCTGACTGCAGGCTGGCCACGCAAGAAGAGTGAGTGTGATACCAACAGCTAGCCTGCCTCTCACATCCTAACCAACCACAAGTAGAAAATCAGATCTCACGTCTAACAGGCCACAGAAAGTGCAAACACACCTAACCTGTGTCTTCTCTAGAACAGAACTCCTCAGAGCTGGAAAGATTCTGACCCAGATGTCATCCTAGGCATTATCGAGTCTCAAGAAATAGTTTTTGGTCATCTGGTTACACGTAACAGCACAGTGTTGAGAAACTTGAATTACAAAATCAAATTCGCATATAATTAAAGGACCTTTCTAGTGTTTTCTAAATATAGAAAATAAAGTTTTATTACTCCAATATCTTCAGGAACACTGGAAGGAAAAAAACCTTGTCCCACCATTCCCTTTCTTTCCAGCAAAAGGTAAACTACTAAAATATAACTCTTGACAAAATTTGTATGAAAAGCCTTGATTAGCTTCTTCTGTATAAAAATTACATTAAGAGACTTTAGGCTAAAGACTAAAGTATCTCAATGAAATATATGGAAATATAATATTTAGTCATGAAAGCTAAAAGAAATAATGAACTTGCTAAGTCTGTAAATATGTAAGCTCTCACTGTCCCTGAAGCCTGGAGGTTTACTGAAGACAATCATTTTATCTGTCATATTCACACTTGTTATTGGATTTTGCTTGGTGGAATTTTACACATATTACTGTGATCATTATAAATTTATTGATTTATTATGGGTCTTAATTTAAAGTTTCAATTTTTCTATATGGCTAGCAGGACTCTATGTTGTCACCAAATACTCCGTGAGCAAATTAGAACACAGCTTATTTCTACCATTTAGTAAGAATATTTGCAACACAGAAAAATGTTATTTTGTATAACGGTTTTATTGCAATGTTCCTGCATTAGTCTTTAAATGCTAACTTCTTGTTTAATTAATTTAGTTTTAACACACGGGAATAACGTACATAACGAAACTCACTTTCTCTTAAAAGAGTTGAGAATATAGGAAATCCATCAAAACTATTTTTCAATAAACTGATTCTCATTCACATGTTTTTCCTTAAGTGAAGAAGAGTTATCTTTGCCTGGTTCTTAATGCCTTAATTAATCTTCAAAAATCTTCAAAATGCTTAGATTCATTCACCAGATTATCATAAGAACAAAGCAGATTTTGCTTCATTTAACAATTTCAATTTACATATATTACAACCTACATTTGGACTACTTTTAACTATTATGATATTGAAAAGTTTGAAGGGAAAAAAATATATGAATATTAGCAATGAGTTCCCTATTTATTCTTGCTGTCAGTCTGCAGCCAGGTAGTAGAAGCCTGTTATAGAAGTTTCAAACACAGTTCTCAAAACGAGATACCCACAAGAATCCCATCAGCACTTTGGTAAATATATTTTAAATTTGAATACAAAGAAGTTTATCTAGAGAGGACATGACCCTTCCTGTGATCATCACACACAGATGGCAGGATCCACTTACAAAGCAGTGCTGCATGGATTCAGTGCAGACAATTCCAGATGAGCCACTAAATCGGTGGCTCATGATATAGTCAGAGGAGGGAAAAGAAGCATTCCCAAAGGCATAGGTTGTTTGGTCTCTTTTAGATACTTACTTTAGGAATGGGATGAAATGAACTCCAGATATGGTTGTGAAAGTAGGCTCGACTGCAAGATCAGCTTTTGACAACAGAAAGTCAGAAGAGATGAATCCCACCATAAAAGACTTCAGTGCTCCCATAAAAATAGTCTTGCGTAGCTTTTGCAAACTGAGCTCCAGTGTCTGTGACAGTGTTTGCCATCATGCCTTGTCCACGCAAGTCAGTTGTGATATGGCAGCTGCCAGCAGATGAAAAGGCCCCATTTGGATTTTGGCCCCCCTTGCAGAGGCCCAGGAAGGGCAGTCCTGGAGAGACAAGCCACAGCTCCCAGATCCCGTCCAGCCCACAGAGCACAGCATCAGCAGCACCCGTCAGTGCCTCTCCACAAGCCACGGTGTGGGCTGTAGTGTCAGCCAACAGTCTGACAAGTGGCTGTACTGGGAACCTGTTCTGCAAGGCCTGTGGTAGCATGGAAACTCAAAAACAGGAGAGCAGGTTACCAACAAGGAAGTGTTTGTTGTTGCTGCTGAAGTGTTGCTGTTCCCAGTGTGACCCAAGGCTCACTGGCTGTGGCGAGCTGGCAGCGGTGGGTGCAAGACCCTCCTGCAAACGGCCCCAGGAGCAGCTCCTCCCAACCTGGCCAGAAGCTGCACTGCATAGCACCACCATCCATATTCCCAGAGCAGGATGTGGTGTCCCTGATGTGACGTGCCTGGGTGGCTGCACATCAGCGCCCATGTGTTATGCACCACATCAAACGCGAGCAAGAGACTCTGAGGCTGAGGACAAGCAAGGACAGCAAGAGGATGTACGCTCCCATCTCAGCCATCTCTCTCCTCCAGGAGGTTATTCTTGTGTGGCAGTCACTTAAGAAACTGCAGAAGTTTTAGTGCTGGCCACCTGCCACGCAGAGGTGAGGCAGATGGCAGCTCCCACTCAGCAGTTCATCGGTGGAGGAAGTTTTGTGCGAGGGGAACCCGCCTGTCATCGCTTTAGCTGCGCTCGGCTGCACTGATTGAGCTTTGCTGCCAAACAGAGCCCCAGACCAAAGCAGCTCAATCCCAAGTGCCAAGAGATCACGTGGTGATGCCGTGCCAGGGCTGATATGGCAGCAAGTCCAAGGCTCAGGGAGCTCAGTCTGCGAGTCACATTATGAGTTCCCTCAGGAGTCGCAGAGGGAAGACAAAATTCTGGTAGACAATTGCCTTCTACTGCTGAAATGTGGAAGGACGAGATGTGAAAAAAAATAGGGGAGAAAAACAGTTAATCTTCTGCTTCAATAAGAAAAAAGCTCTTAAGAGGTATGATTTGTACATAAGGTGTTCGGTCTTGTTCTTGGCACCAATTTTTCACCTCTGGAAAGGTGCACAGAGGATTTGGGGTTGCTATGCTAAGCTATCATTTGATCTTATTTTAGTAATTCCAGCTTCTTTAGGTGCCAAAGAAAAAATCATAAAAGACAAAGATACAAGTGGTAAAAATGATTTCAGAGTGCTTCTATGAGCATTTTCTCCTGTAAAACTGAATTTGGGAACTTTTCGCAGGCCTCATGCAAAATTGATACCATCTAACTCTGCAGTAAGGAAATTTTCTCCCCAAGGATGGGACTCTACCAAGGACTCATGTAAAAACCTCAAACAATAATAATAGTAGATAAGGAGTGTTACTGATCTGTTCAAACTGTAAGGCAGATGTTATGTGTGCTTATATGGGATAAAATACTATTAATCTTGGAGGAATAGACATAATAATTATTTCTACTCATATCACTTCCTAGTAAGACAGGTTGCATGTGCCTTTGAATTTAGATACAACTGAATTGATTAGTCTTCTGAAAAAGAAAAGTTTTTGTCAGCATTAATGCATGACTTCCAGTCCAAATCTCTAGTACAGGCTGGCTCAGTGCCTTACACTGGATGAAGGAACTGTCATTTAAATGCATTCTATGCATACAAATAAAACATCATGGGATTTGACTAGCCCAAACATGTGTGCTGGGGATGCTTTCGAAGCTTGAATTAAACATGAACCTAATAAACTGGTGGGGAAATCTAGCTTCTAAAAATCACAGCCCTTTTTTGTCAAAGACAGTTTGTATTAAAAGGAAGTAAACAAGTGAGTGTATAGTGAAATACAACCCAAAGGAAATCATCCTCAAGTATGTTATTACTGATGCTTTTCTCAGGTCAAAATCTCTGATGACCTCTCTAAGCTTCAGCTCAGACTGGAAGCTACTCACTGCCTGTGCCAGCTCTGTGGGAATGCAAAATGTGCCTGAGCCAGGGGGCAAGGAACAGAGAGCCTCCACACACCAGGGAGCCGGGTCACAAGGTGTGGTTGTGCCTTTGTGAGCAGAGCAACAGTGGAGTGAAACCTTCCACTTGTAAATAGTTAACTCTGGGAGCTTCCAGCAACATACCTGTGCGAAGAGTACACTTTCAGTCTTATCTCCCTGTGGGTTACAAGAGCACAGGAGAAATTCCCTGCTGGCAAAAAAACAAAGTGCAAATCCCCTGGATTCTGGGAAATTTGACCAAAGTCACAGGGAGAACTCTTGTGAGCATTACAATGGGCCTGCACCGCCTTGGCTTATCAAAGTGGTGGATGTTTCAGTGCTAGCTAGCTCTTGTATTCAAAAGTACAATAATAACTAACTTAGAGTCTGATATAACTAATTCTCAAATAGTTTTCATTCTGTCCTTGGTGGGAAATGCAGGAGGAACATCTCAATACCAATTTTTTTGTGTATTAGGATGTTATAAAGTCACCTGTGTTTTTTTAACTATGAAGTAATCCTAAAGTAATTTCGTATGCAAGACTATTATTACTTATGCAACTTAGAGGTTTTACTACTAAATGGTGTTTTAAAACTCATTAAAGAATACTTAAAGCTTTGTGCTTTCACTTAAGTGCTAGGTGTGGGAAGTTCCAAGGAAAACATTTCCTAATTTATCCCCAGATCAGTAAATGTCTTTGCAGTTCCAAGGAATGCTGCTTTTCTCACAGTCACTTTTTGAAAAAAAAAAAAAATTTCACATAGGGTTTTGTTTTTCTATAAAACTATGCATTAAGGATTTTTAAGCATTAGTTGCAGTAATTGATTTTGAGGGAGCTGGGTTTTTACATGAGAAGTATGTAAAACAAACATACTCTGAACTATCATTAACATTGTTGTGCAGCATTATCTCAGGCAAACACTACATGGGAATTTCTTTCTTCTGCTAAGGAATGTAAAGATATCTCCCCCTACAATTCGTAAGAAAAGTCATAGGTATCATTGGTGACAAAGTTGTAAACATTAAAAAGGCAACACACTCACTGTTCTGGTGTTCCACTCCAGGCAGCAGCATGGTCACCCATGTTTCTTTGTTACAGAAGTTCTGTAAAGGAAAAAAAGAAGTCCCTGAAATAAGTTTCTTGCACTCAGCTACACAGGACCAATGACAACTCAGTTTACAAAAAGTGGTTCTTTGCTTTTTGCTTTGCTAATGTCACAAATTATTGAAAAATCTCAAAGTTAAAAAAATCACACTGTATCAAAATGTTAAAGCAGTACAGGAAGACCTTTTTCAAGGAAGCAAAGCAAAGTGCCATCCAAGAACCAGTTTTCAGAGCAATAGAATGTTCATTACATGATCATCACAAAAATTTCATGCATTTTGGGACAAATCATAAGGTTCCTAGTACACACAGGGAAGTTACAGACTTGCTCTAGGGAGATTGACACAGTGAAATATCTGAAGAATATAAAAATATCAAAGAGAAAAAAATTAATACTAAATTGTATGAGAAACTCTATGTTAAAATAAAACCTTAAACACAACAGGTTGACTGTGACATACTGGGAGAAGTTCAAAGAGAGTAAAATTAACAGGGTATAACAAAATCTCCAGAGAAGTAATAGAAGTCATGCCACATCTATTTTAAAATTAGACTTGACAAACATCAATAAATATGTGCGAAGAAATAATCTTTTATTGGTGGTAAAGAATGCAATTTACTTACTGTACTCAATTTATAAAGTCAGAAGTGTTAAACCAGCTTGATCAGGACTAGAATTACAGGCCTGGGACACTAAATTGTTCCCATCTGTTTGTTACCACCACTGCCTGCATTCTCCAGCATGAGCACATCATAAACTGTGCATTTAAAGAGTAGTTTAAATCCCCTTTAACAGCCCTGGAGTTCCCAGCTTGCAGTGCGATTGCTACAAGGCAGATGCACCAGATGTTTTTTGCCTTGCTGCAGTGGCACCGCCAGGGATGTCAGCCACAGCACCCTCTGCCTAGTGCCCTCCCTTTCTGGTTACCACACCCAACATCTTTTATCCCAGAGAATTAATTACCTGTCAGCCAAATACTCTCAGGAAGTAGCTTTTCTTTTCCAGCAAACCCCGGGTAGCACTGGAGCTATGGAGGATTCCACTGGTGCTGCAAATCCCAGGGGACTGAGGCCAACCCACCTCACTGAAGGATGCACTGACATTTGGCAAAGCCTCTAGTGATGGACAGGGGCACATACTTTGTTATAAACTCAAAAGCAAAATGCTGCCAAGTACATTATTATAATTTACATGATAGTTTGGCTGATGCACCATTTCTTTACAGAGAATTGTTTGAGTTATGGCATTATTCCACATTGCACTTGCTAAAGGTTATGCTCAAGGTATCAATGCTTGGCTGTTGCCTCACTGCCTGAGGTCTGATTCCCACAGAAAGTGCTATCTTCTGCCTGTCACCCTATGGCATATAAATGCTGAGTAAGGATCACTGTGCATCAGAGAGTTATCTGGATCCCATTTCATGCAAACACAAGCTCTTGGTACGTATTCTGCTGCTTGTTTCCTTTATAAACTAAAAGCAAATCCATACTAACCTTGATATTGGTGCTCTCTCTTCCTGTTACTTTATTTAAAGTTGCTATTGTTGGTGAGTTTGTGATAATAAATATGGAAATGGGCATTGACAGCTCAGCTGTCATTTAGGGCACTCAGGCTTTTGAATTTCAGAGTAATTCTCTATTGGTCACCTTTGCAACTGGAAGACTGAGCCACAACCCTGTATAAGCTTCTTTCTACTTGGCGTTACATGTGCTGTGAAAACACACATATCAGAAAAATCTGGGGGTGAAAAAGGTGCCATTACACCAGATACATTGAACAATTGTAACAGCTCATCCTCAGCATCATAGCCATCTAAATATATGAAGGGTTTCTGTGTGATGTGGATTTATTTGGGATTTATCAACCCATAGTACTGAAGGAAAACTCTCCCACACCTACCAGACTCTTCCTCCCACCAGTTATTTACTGAATTTGTAGCACTTTGTTAAACAATATAGCTGTCTGCCTCCATGGGTGGGTGTGTGTGTAATATCAAGTTCATAACATTCATACAGTAACAAGATTTGGAGAAATACAAACTCTGCTCTTCTCTGCATACCACTGCATTTACTAATTAATATAGAAAAACCTAAACTGAACCTTAAGGTCTCTGATTGTGAGGAAAGCTTATAACCATATCCAGCCTCTGCTGCTCAGGCCTTGCCTGACCTGAAAACATAACAAGATAAATTACCAGGGAAATTTGGAAACAATGAATAGTTTTGTCTCTGCTACATATGAACTTATAAATACTTCTCTAGCACAATGGACAGGATTTCAGAAGCCAGACTTTGGCACAACATAAATTCAAATGAAAAGAGAAGTCCCTTAGTAGACTCCATCTTTTAAATTGTAATGCCTGGGAAATGAAAGAGTGCATAAAGGAGTTGTCTGTCTATGTTTGTGTGCATATATATATGTATGTTTGAAAGGAATATTCCTGCAACCTCCTAGTCCTGGAAGTCACAAAGTAGCAGCAGCAACATTGTAAACACTGCAGTCCTATTACTCAGATTCACGAGGAGGAACATTCAGAGTTAAAATGCAATATCAGGTAGAAAACTACATAACAACCACCGAAAAAAAAAACCAAACTAGCAAGCCTTGCAAATTTTTTAGATTCTTAAAATTTCTGCAGAAACTTAAGCTTGTTTTATATATGATTCTGTCTTTACATCAGAAAGTTTTCTTGAGATTGGTTTACTACCTACAGAAGAAAGAAAAACCATCGTGTTCCAGACAGCATGCAGCTGCCTGCACTATGGCCTTCCAGAGAGCTGCCTTGAAACAATAGTAACAGCAAAGGTACAGCATGAACTGGACCACTCTGTGTTTCATTAACCTCAAATGAGAAGGTTGTTTTTTTTCAAAGCCCATTTTGGAACCATTTAAATGATAACATTTGAAAGTCAGGCAGCCTTTAGACCAACACAGGGGGTGAAGGATTTTTAAAAAGCAAAAGCTTTGTAATGAAGTGTTTTTTTTTACACCCATTTTCCACCTGTAATGGGGCTTTCCACCTCCTCTTACTCTGATGGGGCTGTAAGGATCCAGCAAGCTGCCACCTACGGTCACATGCATGTCTGCCCTGAACAGTGTTTGTATCCCCTGAGCATCTCTGTTGGAAATTAACTGGGATACATCACGCTTCTGGCCTGAAATTACTGAATGGTCTGTTCTAGAAGGGACCTCAGGCATTGCCATACCTAAGATTTCACCTTCTAAAGAGATATACTTTGTGTCCTGCAATTTTAGTCTCCTGTGATTTAAGAAATCTATGCCCTTGACTCCCTGGACACAGCAAGAGAGGGGCAATTACCAAGCAATTTTCTGCATTCTTAGAGAAAGTCCTAAACAATGAAAGTTCAAAATCCCAACCAGTATAACTGGGAACACTTTATGCCTTATTAAGAACGGAAAAGACTAACAATTCTGTAAAAAAAAAACCAGAAACAGCAGTAGCCAAGAACTTGTTGCTGGATATATCCAGTTTGTATCATGTGACCAGACTTACATAAAACTAAAAGTGACTTGTGTTCTTTGCCTGCCAAATCCTATCCCAGGTATTCTCAGGGTGTTCCTCTCTCCACATCCACAGGTTGAATTAACTTCTGGTGCTATGAGGTTTGCTTGAATGAAAAGAATCTGCAGGGAGGAGTTAGCTGCTAAAACTCAGTTTGAGACAGAAAGGTTACAGAAACAGCCCACTGTTCACTTTAGATGAAATGACTGAAAAAGAAAGTAAACTGCCAATAATACTTATCCAAAACTGTAATGTTCATATGTTCAGAAGCTATACATGTTAACATAATTATGTTTGTTACACAAACATAAAGCCAGCATCATAAATCAGTCATGCACTCAGCCAAATTATTGTGTATGGATACAGCTTTGGTCAGCACACCTCCCTTATGCCCACTAATAAAAATCAGCTTGCCAGGTAACATATTTTCCCCCCAAATGAGTCATTTCCTGTTAAAATAATAATAATAATAATAATAGCTTGAACAGTATGCATAATCAGAAATGTTTAATTGTGCATCAAGAATAGGTTTCAATTCTTAAAAGTTGGAAGCAGCAGGGAGACAATGAAGTTTACTCTAGACCCAGACCCTTCATTCCAGAGATTTTTTTAGGATACAGATAAGACTGTTAGTAATGATTTGTAAAATAATGAGAGACTTGGCAATTAAGTAGCTGAAGAAATTTAAACACAGAGAAAATAATGTAAATAAAAAAAACCCAAACAATAAGCCTGCTCATGCACAGAGATGTGCTTTTTACAAAGCATTGCGATTTTTCAGTAAGACACTAAAGACTTTTTTATTATTTCATTGAAAATAACTGCTTATGTCCTGATTATGGTCAAAAAATAAAACACCAATGGAATGTCAGGGATCATTACAAAAGACATTGGGTACAAAATGGTAGATACATACGTATCAAAATACTAAATAAATATGTGTGTGCACTGTTTGTGTACCATTGCCCTTAAAACACCTCCAAGATGTTTGCGTGGTCACATTGCCTGAAAAAAATCAAGTGTTCTCAGTGTTTGACACCATCTGGATCCAGGCACCAGCACCTAGTCTTCCACTTAGTAGGTTTAAGGATCAAAATCCAACTCATGGGCACCCTTTACTGCGTTGAAATTTCAAAGACACGTGGTTGATTAAACTGTGAAAGTCATCTGCTCAGTTCTCAGGTACTAGGAAAATAAACCTACCACCCACTTTTATTAATTTAATATTGGACTTCATCAACTCAAATATTCATATGCTATTGCTTTACAAAAAAACTTTACACCACTGTTGATTTTGCCATTATTCCCATTTGTGGCTTGTGCTACCACAATGCTGACACAAGCCTTGGTGCTTGAAATATCAGACCAGGATCAGCCCAAACTTTCAAGCACGATGAATATCATCTGAGCACCTACCTTAAACCACAGCAAGAACTTCTGTTAAAATGAGGATCACAGCAAGTGCCAGTCTGGGGTTCAGTCTTGAAATGTCCAACGTCACCTACTTAAACAATAAACATCAATAAGGCCACTCATTTTTAAGCACATGTTTAGATGGTTTGCTGAATCAAGGTCAGAATGCTCAGAACTAGAAAGAATCAAGTCTAAAGCTTGGCTTTACATTTGAAGAAATAGTTCCAAGAGTATTTTTCTAACCTCCCAACCTAATCCTAAAAATGTTTGTTGTACCGGACATGGCATACCATACAGGATTTATGATTATCACTTTGGAACCCTTTCCACTCTCTGTTTCCTGGTTCTGCTCCGGGGAAGCAACGTTCCCACCACAGGCTTGTGCCCAGAAGCCTCTCTACTGAGCCATCAGCCAGCCAGCACTGTCTGAATCGACACACAGTGTGAGCAGCAGGCTATTGACTGCAAAGTGTCTGGTGAAGGTGGCCTATTTCACTGCTACATTCTCGAGCAGATGAACCGGAACAATTACAAACAAAGTTAATGTATCTATTGAAATGCTAAATTTAAAACTTGGAAGCATTCCTATCTGCTTCCTTCCATTTCAAAACACAGCGAGTTAACTAGGTCTGACTCTTTGGCAGTGGTCCATTTAAATGGCACGGATTTGCCTACCTAAAAAAGCCCTTTTGTTTCCTACAGCTGTGAAACTTTGGTGCTCTGCAACTTTTCATGTTTCTCAGGTTACCCTGGCACAAAGTTGTGACTAAATGTCTGCAAAAGATTTTTAAGTCTAGATTTGAAGGAATATAACCACAAGGAGGAATGATGACTTTCAGTAAGTGCCCCATGGTAGCAAGAACAATGCTCGAAATTAGATTCAAATGTCCTCAAAGCTTCTGGAAGATCTGTGGCTTATGAGGGAACTGCATTCTCTGTTCTGCTCTGTTACAGACTGCATCATGTTTGCCTTTTCCTTAATTTCTCTTCCCTATGTAATACCTGCTCAGCTCTATCATCCAATACAAAGGGAAATGGGGACATATGACATATCTTTTCGAAAGAATTAGTTGTAAGGACCACTTATATTTGAAGAAACTTTGAATTCTGGAGCTGACTTCCTGTTCTGTGGGAAGAAATCGATCTTTTGTCACTGATTCCACAAGGACAGGAGGCAATTCCAAGTACATACACATATGGTGTTAATAAGACGCCTTAAAGTAAACAGATTCTAACTGAACTAACGAACTACTGTGTCAAAATTGCCTTCCCGTTTTTCTCTGGCTGCAAAATGTTCCTGGTGGATTAAGTGGGAGTAAGTCTGTGCCACATAGAATAAACAAGTAGGAAATTCACGCAGGTGCAGGAGCGCTGGTCTGTGGTAAAGTTCCAGAAGCTCCTTCTGTGCCTTATGCAGTAAGGAATAATAACCAGGAGCTGCAAGAAAGGAGATCGAGGAGTTATTGCTTTGACACCTGCAGACAGACCTAAGGGGCCAAATGCACTGGGGCCAAATGTGAGGTAGTTCCAAATTAGATGCTAAACATGGGTGCACTAAACCAAAAAGATGCACCTTGTGTATCTCATATCTGCCGGGATTTCTTTATGTTGGCTTTTTTTTATGTTCAGGTTTTTTTCTCTGAGATATTTAAGACATCCCAGGGCAGCAGCTGTCAGTGAACACCAAATGGACACTACATTCACTGTAACATCACATCTGAGAGAAATAAAAATCTGACAAGACCAGGAAGAGCACATGAATGCCTGTGGTATCTGCCATTTAAAGAATAATTTGAGAAGACAAGAAAAGATTTAGGATTTAGCAAACAATATGATGGGCAAAATACAAGTATCATTCTATTACGCTTAAAGTGTGAGTTATTTTCCTCTAGAGGGAAGTAAAAAACTCCTGAGAACCTTTCCTTGTTCATGCTCTATGCAAACCTTAAAACATCACCATAACACAGCATTTTTTAAAAATTTAATTTTTTTTATTGTTTATTATTACCACAACACCCAGAACATGTCATAAAACAGGTTCACAATATACTGACCACCTATACTATGCAGAATAACAGACAGTCCCTGCCTGAAAGGACTAAAAGCATCATTAAATAAATGTATGGAAACCTGGGGGCCAAAGAAGCAACAAATCCTGTCTACAGTCAATGAGAGATGCTCTGACAGAAGCCATTGGAGAATACCAGGATGAAATCTGGCATCAGTTGGAGTCAATTGCAAAATTCTCACTATCTTTAGTGAAACCAGGACCTAAAACATACATTTCTGCTTCACAGTCCTTTGTCCAGACAACTCAGGTTTGGAATTTCTTAAGTTTTCTTATTTCTACTCTTTGTTCTTTTGCACCAAACACATTTTTCTGTGCCTTCTGTTTACAAACTGATACTTTAATAACATAATTAAGATACAACTATGTGTAATTCTATTAATATCTGTCCAAGTGTTCATTAGTTAAAGTAAAAAAATTTTCACTAGGATATATCCAATATTTACACTGCAATTGTTTTTCACAATGTGTCCTGCTTTGAAATGCTATTTCACTGCTCCTTGTTCTTTGTCCTGCATTTCTACTGGTGCATTTAATAAGGCTAGCTTTTCAGATTTCTGTTTCTTCCTTAAAATAAGGAGAATTAGTGAGCTTGGGATATAGGACACTCCACGTAATACTGCTGGCAGGCCAAGATAGAGCCACCTGAAATAAATAATGACTTCATTAAATATATGCATTCATGAAAAAATAGCAAAATTATTCAGCATACATTACATTGCAAAAATTACACAGTAGCTCTAAAGCTTGTGCCCCGATCCTTTTGGATCTCACAGAGGATGAGTCAATATGAGAACAGAGAATATGTCAGTGTCAGCAAAACGGTTGTCTACATCACCCAATTTCAAGCAAACAATTGAGCCAGTGACCTCAGTCACCTGGTACGCTTATAACTTTCTCCACAGGGGAAAGAGAGAGCCCTGAAAGGGCAGCTCAGTCCACCTGAGTAAAACTTCTAGATATTCATAAGATAGAAATATCCTTCCAAATCCACCCCAACACATTATTAAAAGCAATTAGTCTGAGGCCATTTTCTTCAAAATTCCCATAGCACTCCTTGAAGGATTACAAAAGCATGAAGTGTAGTATTCTGGGCCAATTTCCAACTTGAGTAACTATATCTTCCCTATAAAATTCTTCTTTATTTTAATTCAGGTACTTTATCAACCATTTTCTCAATGATACACAATGTAATTTTTCAAAGATACTGCACAGTCAGTCATTAAACATTTTTTCCCTCAGGAGCTTACTGCTTTTAATTTTTTTTATCAGAATTCAGTGTTTTTAAGGCCTGTTCTCATAAAAGGTTATTAGTGAACGTATTTATGGCACCAGAACATTTCTGTCCAAAAGCTGATCAAACGTGTGTATCAAAGGTTGCATTTGACAAATAAAGCCAATGCCAAAGAAAAGTGTTGTGTCACATCTCTAACACAGGAGCAGTTTGTCTACTAGGAAAAGATAAAGTTCATAAAATCATATCTCTATGCATGTAATAATGCAGCAAGAAGGAGAAATTAAAATAAAGTAGGAAATATACCTGTACGTGACAATATCGTACATCCTACATGCTCCTTCTCCACCACAAGTCATAGTACCCCACTTCAGGCAAGTGGTATCTATCAAAGCTCCAAAATAAATGGGAGATGGAATTCCAGCTACAAAGAATATTAACAACATTTCTGTGAAAAACATTTCCTCTGATTAGCAGATACACTACAGAACCTGTGCTGTTTGTCATGTACTGCATCTGCCCTGTCCTCTTGCAGCATGAACCATGTTCCCTGTGTATCTTATGTTCTCTCTTCTTCCTTATCCACCTACCCTCAAAGGTTTTCTTCCCTGCTGCCTGTTTACCAATGTAGACATGCTAAAATATGAACTGTGATTTCTATTCAGAACTCAAAAGTTCTCCTTATCAGTGAGAGGGAATTTTGTGTTAAATAAGGATGTAACAAGAGTGAAGGAAAGCAAAATTGCTTTCAGAGAAGCAGCAGATGTAATCATGTGTCCTGGCTTCTGCTGGTATAGGGTTAATTTTCTTCCTGGTAGCTGGTACAGTGCTGTGTTTTGGATTTCATATGAGAATAGTGTTGATAACACACTGATGTTTTACTTGTTGCTAAGTAGTGCTTATTCTAAATCAAGTTTTCAGTGTTTCATGCTCTGCTAGTGAGAAGCTGCACAAGAAGCTGGGAGGAAGCATGTCCAGGACAGCTGACCTGAGCTGGCCAAACCATTCCATACCCTAGAATATCATGCTCAATATATAAACCGGAGAGAGTTGGCTGGGAGGGGCCAATCACTGCTTGGAGATGAGATGGGCATTGGTCAGCTGGTGGCAAGCAATTGTATTGTGCATCACTTTTCCTTCTTCTGGTTTATTTCTATTATTATTATTATTATTATTATTATATTAATACTATTATTATTATCATATTATTAATACTATTATTATTATTATCACCATCATCATCATTATTATATTTTACTTTATTTCCACTATTAACTCTTCTTATCTCAACCTGTATCGTCTACCTTCTTTTCCAACTCTCCTCCCTATCCTACTGCAGGGGGAGAGTAAAGTGGCTGCATAGTACTTAGTTGCTAAGTTAAACCACAACATCAGCCTATTGCCCAGTATAAAAAAAAATGCAAACTGAAAGCTGTTCTAATTTGCCATGCTGCCTAGATCCGTAAAAAAATCCTAAATTCTTCCATAGGCACTCCATAGAAGTAGACTCTTAACTCTGGATTGGACCTAACTGTGCTTTTAAAATGTGTCAGATATTTTCTCACCAAATACTCTTGAAGCTAGTCCATGGATACCCACTCCAAATGACTTTTCTTCAGGCTTTAGAGACCTGTATGATAAATACATAGTACACTTATTAGTAGAGGTGACATTAACTCTGGGGTTTTTTTAATTAAACTCACCATCAGTTTAGGTCCAAACCATTCTAATTACAGTGATGGTTGAAAGGGTTCATTATCCTCATTAGATGGTGTTTATTGAAAAAATTCCTTAACTAGGACTGCCAAATCACGAAAGGAAGAGCTATTGTCATAGTACCATCCCTTTGAACTGAGGCAAACACAGAGTGCAAGACAGTTGTGCCTTAATCGACATCATGTTGATGTGATCGATAAACACAATGGGTATCACACACCCTCAATGGCTCAGTCCCCTGGCTTGGTGGTCCTGCATTAATTCAGGATATAGCTGATAGCCAGAAGCAATGTCAGACTATAAAGTTGACATGACACTAAACCTTAACAGCACAAAATGACATAAGATTTTTCTGCTCTTCCTCCTTCCTTACATAATCTAACCGACTTTCAATTCCTGGGAGTCTTTGACCTTAGAATAAAAAGTTGAGTAGATTTCTCAAGATGAGGACATTTTACTATACCTCATTAAGACCATGTATCCAGGCATGGCTGCTAAGGAAAAAATGAAGCTGCAGACTAATGACAATATCAAAAAATAATGAAGCATCTTGTCACAGTTTTCATCTTCATCACACTGGCCCAGAATTGCAGAGACATTTTGAGATGAAAACCCTGAGGCTGCAACACAGGTGCAGTTTTCAAATACCTGTCAAAAAGAGTATTTTAATCACACAGGTTGTCCAAACTCCTGCACCGAGTCTGAAAATCACACCATTGGCACCCAGTTTACTGTCTCCTGCACTTGTTACACCCATGCAGCACTGCACTGTGGCCTCTCTCCCATCCCAGTTGGCCAGGCACAGGTCCAGCCATTCCCTGCATGTGGAGTATGGGGTTAGGGAGCTGTCATGCAGCTGGGACTATGCTCTCTCAAGGAGGCCGTGATCAAGAGAGCCTTCAAGTTCCCCAGCACAGCCCGGCTGTGTCGTCCTTCCACTGCCAACAGACCTGACCCTCGTTTTCATAACCTACAGTGTGGTCTTTCATATATCAGAAGAGAAGGAACCAGAGATTTGATTGAGGTTGGGTTGCAATATTCTTATCAAACACTTGCTTCTACTGAAATCATTGCCAGAATAAGGACTCTCAAAAATCAGCCAAG